GGCCCCCAGCCCAGCTCGAGCCCCCTCTCTGGCGAGGAAGGAGGTCCGTAGCACTCTGCTGGGGCGCCTATCCCGCCTCGCTGGCTCCCTCGCTCGGTGGGTCCAGGGAGGGAGTTGGAGCGAGCTGCCCGAAGCCCACCCCCCTTTCGGCAGCTTGAACGGGTGGGGAGGGGGTGGGGGAGATGAGGGCTGCGGGCGCCCAGTGGGAGGGGAAGAGTTAAGGCTCTCAGCTCCCCTCCCCCGGAGGGTGTGACCGCCTATAAGACAGGCGCAGCGCTCAAGCACTGGGGCTGCAGGCGGCGGGGGGCGCAGCTTGGCGCCGGAGAGCAAAGGCCGTTCCTGCGCCTTCTGCACCTCGCGTCTGTCCCACCGCCCCAGAGCCGGGGCAGAATGTCGGAGTCCAGAAAGAGGGGCCAAGGCCGCGGCAAGAAGCACCGAGAGGGGAGGAAGCGGGAGCGGGAGCGGGAGCCAGAGCCGGAGCGGGAGCCCGACCCGGGGGAGAAAGGTAGGGCACCTCAGAAACCTCGTTTTACTAGGAGAAACCTGCTGCCTGCTCACCTGCCCCCCCTCCGTCTCGCGCTGCACGGGTGAGTCTGGGGCTGTGCAGAGGCAGAGGTGACAGGCGCCGAGGGGCGTGCGTGCCAGCGTGCGAGTCAATCGCTGTGGTCGGGTGGGCAAGGGACCGCGCACGGAGCCAGGCAGTGGCTGTGCGCGCCCGTCCCCGGGCACTGCGTCCCAGCGGAGGGGGCGGGTACCGGCCTACAGGTGAGGAGCGGGGAGCGGGCTGCAGAACGGAGCCAGAGCACAGTCGGAAAGACAGCGTTCAAGCAGACGCGGGTCCTGACCTGGCGCCAGAGCGCTGGGGGAGCTGTCACTGCCTTCCCTTCCTGGAGCGTGCTCTGGGCTCACTCCCACCCATGTGCCACACCTCCGTGAGTTCTGCTCATTCATTGGAGCAGGGACAGCAGCGCCTGCCACCTCGAGGGGATAGGGCTCCGCTGTTTCTGTGACAGATCTTTCCCTCGGAATATTGCTGCCAAGCAGTTGTCCACCTTTAGTCTTCAGGAGTGACTCCCTTGCACCCTTGGGTTCTGTCCCCAAGGAGGAAGGGGAGAAGGTGCTCTGGGTGATTGGAGCCTGTGCTGAGACCCACTTTGGTGCCCTCCGTGGGAAGCTGTAGGGTGAAAGAGAGGCCCCCACTCAGTACACTGGCTTTGGGCTTCTCAAGGATGGGCCTAAGGCATGCAGGTCCGCCCCAGAGGCTTGTACAGTTGCCTTCTCACTTCTTGTCTCTTTGGTATTTTGTTAATGTCTATGTTGTACCTGTCAGCAGTCTAAGCATGTTCAAATGCTTCATCTCCGTTTAATCCTCATAACAATCCTGGGGGCAGGCATTCCTAGCCCCATTTTACAGAGGGAGCAACTGAGGCTGACTGAGGTTAAAGTCACAAAGTAAGTTCCAGAGATAGGTCTCGGGGACTTCAAATCTCTGCACAATGATGCCCATGTTGCTGGTTCTCTATCCCCCACCAGAGTTCCTGCCAGAACTGCAATATAAAAATGTCTTCAAAAGAGCACTGGACTGGTAGTTGGGAGGCTTTAGCTGTGGTTGAGGATTTAGCCAAATGACTTAACTTTTCTGAATTTCTGTATAATGAGGGGCAGGTAGCAAGGTAGCCTCTGAGGTCTCTTGATTGGGAAGAGCCTAAGAGTCGACAATTCCTTCAGCCCAGCAGAGGAAAGGACTTCAGCCCAGTAGAGGAAAGGACCTGGGGCATTTAAAGGCCATTGCTGGGTTCTCTTCCTTATAAAGCAAGCACTCCCTGAGTAATGCGTGGGCCAGCTGATGCTGGGCTAATGTGGTGTGCCGTGAGCTCCCAATCTGAGACCTGAAGGAATTCCTGATGCCTACTTTCAAAATTCATGTGTTTGGCTCAGTGAGCCAACCTTTTTTTTCCCTATACATCCTATTATGGGCACCTTGGAGGGCTGGCTAGGTAAGGGCACCCTCCCAATGTCAAGGTTGCAGGAGCTGAACTAGTAACAAGCCACCTGGGCTTCACCAGGTGGGAGTAAGAGTGCCAAGGAAATTAGCAGCTTGCTGCTAAGGTTAGAGTATGCATTGGGGCAAAGATGGGAGGGGGCTGCAGGTAGGAGATCATAGCTCTCTCAATAATCTCTTCCAGCACCTTATACCCAGGTGAGAAAGTCCTTCTTCATGTCTAATTGTAATCTTTCCTGCTGTCTTTTCTTCTCTGCTTCCTCTTGTTCCCTGACTCCAAGTGGACAGAATGCCTTCTTTCAAGGAGCTGGCTGGTGAGCGATACCAAGCAAACCCAAGGCCTGGGCTAGCGAGATTTTGGACACTCTGGAATAAGGAGGGAATAGGAAAGAGTCAGGCTCTGAACAAGACCTCAGAAGAAAGTACCATGTCCATGAGAAACAGCAGTTAGTGTGTTTTTTAATACTCACCCAAGGATATTTTTTCCATTGATTTTTAGAGAGAGATTGGAGGGAGGGAGAAGGGGGGAGAGAGAGAAAAACAACAACAACACATTAATGTGAGAGAGACCCATTGAATGGTTGCCCTCCTCATGTGGCCCCGACTGGAGCCTGGGATCAAACCTGCAACTGCAGTACATGTGGATTCTAACCACTGAGCAAAACAGCCAGGGTTGAAGCAACAGTCTTCAACCCCTGATATGTGCCTTGGGGGGTAGGATGGGTGCTTAAGTGAACACTGACCTACAGAGCTGGAAGCTTCCCTCACAACTCGCCTTCAGCCCACTCAAGGCTGCAGGGTCTTCCTATTGCAGCTCAGAGTGCCCCGGCCAGGGAACACATGGCCACTGGGCAGTTGGAGAGGGTTCTTAGCCAGGGTTGGGCCACATTTGCTAGAAAGATTAGGAGGTGCAGACATGGAGAGTGTGAGCAAGTTATCTGTTAAAATCTTCAGCTTAGATAGAAGAGGAAATCTGAAAAGTGGGAGGGAAAAGGAAGGAGAGAGAAGGGAACGTTAATGAATTGGCTCCCCCATCCATGACCCACACCCAGCAGTCCCCCATCTCCTCCCTGCCACACACACTCAGGCCAGTGTAGGGAAATGGGCTTTTCCCTTGGCCTCAGCACAGGAGTGCTGGGTGGGGCTGAACTGCAGGTGTGAGCTCTGCTCTATGACTCACAGAGTTCGTGGGGCTGACGCCTGGTATCCCTACCTGGGGCTGCCCCCCCCCGCCCCACACACACACACACACTCACACACTTCCCTTATCCCAGGGCGGCCATGTTGGGAGGTGGGTCATCAACCCACTCATGTACCTGGGGTCCATCCCACTCTGGCTCTATGTGACCTTGGCACTGCCCTCCCTCTTTGCGTCTCTGGAAATGCTCTCTGCTCTCAACTCTCACCTTCTCCATGGCAAGGCAGAGCCCCAGCCCTCAGGCCCTATGTCTCTGAGAATTCTGAGAGGAGGAGAGCTGGAGAGAGGAGGAGATTGGGGAGCAGGTGGGGGAGCGGCTGGTCCCAAAGAAAGTGACGAGCTCTGAAGGTGCCATGTTATTTTGAAGAGTAACTTGAGAATTGGATTTGAAGTTACTGATCTTTTCTATAGGCCCGCTGAAAGACAGTCAGGCTTTGACGGGAAAGTCCCCTCTGATGAAGCTCCCTTGTGAATTGGGAAGCTGTGTCTGCCACAGGAGGGCAGGGGGCAGGTTTTGGTCTTCTCCGGGGTGTCCTGGAGTATGAAGGTAGATTACCATCGCTAGCTGAAAACTCTGGATACATGTCATTTGAATGGGCGCAAAGAATCCTTGCAAGGACTCTCTCCCATCTTTCCCATCTCCTGCCTCTAGTAAAAATAGTGCCCAGACTTCCAGGACAAACTCCGGTCTTTAGGCTGTCAGAGGTGGCGATATGCCCATTTGCATGTGGCTGAGCCACATCTGGCGGTTGCTTTGGCAGCCTCCACCTCTGGCCTTGGCCCCTGGCTGACCCTGCTGATCAAGGCACCTGGAGTAATCCTCCTGCCACTCCAGGGCTCAGTCTGTGCCTCACACTCTGCTCCGGCTCCCTGGCACCTCAGGATTCATTAGGAACAATAACAACAAGCAGAGAGTGACTTTGTACCTCCCAGCAGTCTTTCATCCTGAGAGCTCAAAGCACTTTACAGACCAGGACTCATCAGTCCTCAGCCCAGGTCCCATAGCATTTCCAGAGACCCAAAGAGGGAGGGCAGTGCAGGGGACAAGGGGACAGAGAACTCTAGTTTTCCAGATTGCACAGCAGTGGGGCTGGAGTCGGGCAGTGAGTCACCTGGGGTGGGGGAATCAGGTGGCCAGTGGGTCTGGGATAGAAGTAAAATTGGACTGAAGGCTTCAGGCTTCAAACAGAGGAAATATTCTCCCTTACAAGAATATAAACAAACAAACAAAAAAGAAGAAGAAGAATATAAGCCACCTCCCACCAGGTCCTCTGGCCTCTGGGCTCTTTGAGCTGCTAGGGGAAGAAGTGGCAGCTTCATGGGAAACAGAAACCCTTTGATTCAGATACTGTCAGGAATCCCAAGTGATCCCTGTTACCGCCATCTGCCCTTGGTGCCGAAAGGTTCGGGGCTAAGTCAGAACAGCCCTGACCTTAGGATAGTGCCAGAGTGAGGAGTGTATGGAGGAAAAGGTGTTGGCCCAGCATGGGGGAGCCCTAGTCCCAGCCTCAGTGGCTTCCTAGAGTGGCTGCCCATGCCTGGTCACCCCCACTCACCCTTCTAGGCCTCCCCTGCTCTCTATCCCACGAGACTGGCCTGCAGGACAGTTGGCATACGGGAGAGAGGAGTTGGGTTTTTCTAAACATTGGCAAAGCATTGCCAAAAGTTGAGACCTGAGGCCCATCAGAATCATGATCCCATTGTGTTTCCCATTTCTGAGCCTGTTATCACTGTACATAACTTAGCACGAGTGGCAGCAAATCCTCCTTGTCTTTCTCCAGCCCAGCCTTGGTCTAAACATCCATTTAGCAAGACTTCCAGATCCTGGCCACATGGTAACTCTACAGACTGCATGTGCTTTTGCTCACTTTGGTGTACTCCATTCTGCAAGCATTCATTGAGCTCCTACTATGTAAAGAAATCACAGCTGCTGCCCTCAGGATCCGAGACTGACCCTCACACAAATACCTGTGATTAGAACCAAGTGTAAGGCCAGAGCTGTGTGCAATGTATGATGAGGAAAGGAATGAATTATTCTTGGAAGGTGTAGGGAGAGCTTCACAGAGGAGGTAACATTTGTTCATGTTAAAGCATAAACTGGGCACTTGCCAGAAATGCAGTCTTTTGCATTTGAATCAGAAACTGTGGGGATGGGGCCAGTGTGTGTTTTCAAAAGCCCTCTGGTTGATGTGATATGTGCTGAAGTGTGAGAAGCGCTTGTTGAACTGGGTGGCCCAGCTTCCCTGTAGGGGGCCTGTCAGTCCCAGAGGTGTTTCCCCAGTGCCTTGGTGCCAGGAATGATGCC